ATAGATTAGAAATATATAGAATATAGAAAGTGTATAGAAAGAAATATATAGAAAGATAGATATAAAATATATAGAAAGATAGATAGATAGAAAGATAGAAAGATAGATAGATAGATAGATAGATTTTACTATTGCGATAATAAATGGCAAGGTCTTTGGTGTGGCCATTCTTGCTTTTTACAGCCGTGCCGTATGCATCTCAGCGGATGGTGTGTTTTGTGTTCGCTGCTTACTATCCGCGCGTCTCTAAGGAGCCAGCCGTGTCTGCCGACAGCATCGCGCCGTCGAAGCGTGGCCTTTGTTCTCCACAGACGAGCTAAGCAGCTCGTTCGTGGCGGGATGGGGTGGTATGGGGGGGGGGGGGGGGGGTAGTAATCGGCTTAGGTATTCCGCCTCATGATTTACGGTCACCATAGGACCGCATAATCCACACCGGTCTCCAGGGGAATAGCAGGGATGCCCCGCCGAATTTCGGCGCGAAATCACCCGGATGTGCCTCGAAGTGAGATTAAGACAGCTGACTGCCGACCTTTGTGTGAACTCGTGGTCTGTGTCAGGGCATGTCGTGTGGCCCTGTAGTCCGTGTCAGGTCCTGTTGTGTGGCCTTATGGTCCATGTCAGGGCCCGTTGTGTGGCCTTGTGGTCCGTGTCAGGGCTTGCCGTGTGGCCTTGTGGTCCGTGTCAGGGCCTGTTGCGTAGCCCCGTGGTCCGTGTGAGGACCTGTTGTGTGACCCAGTTGTCTGTAGTATGGACTGTGGCTTAACCCCCTCGGTAGATGCATTCTTCAATATTTGGCAAGACCTTCAAAACGGTATCTTTGTGTTTCTCACATGGCGTCTGGAAGTTGGAGATCCCGGGGGATGTCAACTTACCCCGGCTAGGCGCGGTTATAAGTTGCTGAGGTCGGCGGCGGTAACTGGGGAATTTCACCGCGCTCCGAGATTTGGCTGGTGCATTCGACAGCGCCGAGCACAGCGTTCCCCATGCAGTGGCAAGGTATCCACACATATGTATCGCGAAATAAAATGTTGTGGTCACACAGACACCGAGAGGATTGATTCAGTGACCATTTACGGTCGTACTTTCAGACAAGTCAGACAGAGGAGAGATTGCACAATAGTTAAAGGGCTCGTGCATGCTGCCTTTTGCTTTGTAGATGGAGACCACTTCTGCAGTTGTTCACGCTTCGGGAAAAATACCCTTCTTCACAGACGCGCTCACAATGCGCAGCAGGTGAAAATCATAAAGGTCAACGTCAAAGATTAAGGTCTGTCACCGCGTTACAGCGCTCAACTGCCTCCAGCGGCACCCCGTTCAAGTGGACCGCTCCAGACGAGATCATACGTCTCACAGCTCCCTCCAGCTCCGCTAGGGTGGCTGGTTGGAGCTGGAACGCCGCCGAGATGATTATAGGTGGTAGGACCACCGATAGCGGTCACGAGTGCGGACCGGCTGTGACGTCATCGCTCAGGCTGACCTTGATTCGGGACCCCACCGACGAGAAGAGCTCGTAGGAACGGTCCGCCCTGGTGTGTTGCTCTGCCTCGTTGGTAGTTTAGGCTGTAGGTGTGTTGTAGTTGTTTGTAGTTGGTAGGCTGTAGGGCTGAGCGTTAAGCTGTAGGAAGGCGTCAAGAAGAGCCTCTTCAGGTTGTGCCAGAAACCCCGGCCGGTGGAAGTCCAGAGCAGGCTGGTGGCAGAGAAAATCTTGGCGAGCCTGCACCAGCCGACCCTTGACCGACTTCCGGAGACGGCGGAAGTCTGCTCGAGACTCCGGCGTGGGCAGATCTAGCCAGGCCTGGTACGCTTCGTCCCACCTAGATATGGCCTGACGGAGCTCAGGAATATCTGTAAGCCATGTGTGGCCCCGTTGGCGGCACCGTATGCTGCGAGCGGGACACTGTCCATCTGTGACTATCCATCATATCATTCCCAGTCTCGTCCGTGCGCTAGGCTATCGCGGCCGCCGTTCAGTGGTCCGCCTGCTTTTTGCGCTTTCCGGTGGCGCCCCGCGGGTTAGGACATTGAAAGCGCGCGGAGGCGAGGCCGGTATGTGTTACATTGGATTGTGGAGCTCAGGTTTTAGGGACCGACAGCAGAGCGACCGTGTTGATGCCACTTTGTTGTTGGCTGATGGTGCTGCTCACTTT